CTCAGCGCAAACGTTTCAGAGATTCATCAACGAAGTAGTAGGTGAATTAGATTTTGTTTTCGCGTATATTGATGATCTACTGGTTGCAAGTGAGAGTGAAGAACAACATTTAAAAGATCTACGGGTACTTTTCGAACGTTTGTCTGAGTATGGTTTGAACGTCAAACCAAGCAAATGCATTTTTGGTGTTCCAAGTTTAGATTTTTTAGGGCATTGTTTATCTGAGGCAGGGATACAGCCTTCTGTAAACAGAGTAGAGGCGATTCGCAATTTTGAACGACCGAAGTCAATAAAACAAGTGCAAAAGTTTATTGGTATGGTTAACTATTACCATAGATATATTTCAAAATTAGCTGAGTTTACTGGAGTTATATATGATTTAATTAATAAAACAAGTAAAAAGCGAGACAAAATTTTGGTTTGGGATGACAAATCCATTAAAGCTTTTGAATGCATTAAAGAGAAGTTTGCATCTAAGATTTTGCTAAATCATTTTAGTAAAGATGCAAAATTGTCTTTAACGGTAGATGCATCCAATACAGCAATTGGTGGTGTCATACAGCAGCATTTCAATAATAAGTCTGAACCACTTGCGTTTTTTTTCAAAGAAACTCTCTCCAGCAGAAATGAAATATAGTGCTTTTGACAGGGAACTTTTAGCAATTTATTTGAATATTAAACATTTTCGGTATTTATTAGAAGGAAGACAGTTTACGGTTTTTACTGACCACAAGCCCTTGATTTTTGCTCTAAATTCCAAAACTGAACGTAGTCCAAGACAAACAAGACATCTCGAGTTTATTGCACAGTTTACTAGTGACATACAGTATATTAAGGGACAGGCTAACATTGTAGCTGACACGTTATCTCGTGTGTTTGAAGTAGATGCGTTTAAGAATTCGGAACTTAATTTCAAAACTTTACAAAATGAACAGCAACAGGACAATGAACTCGATAAAATTATTTCTGAGCAAAAATTTCGAAATCTTAATTTAGTTAAAATTTCTGTTCTGAATTTTAATATTTGGTGTGAAGCTTCAGGAGAAAATCCTAGGCCTTTTGTTCCAAGCAGTTTACGTAGAACAGTGTTTGATATATTACATGGAATTTCTCACCCTGGTACCAAGGCTACACGCCGATTAATTGTTAATAAGTATTATTGGCCTAATATGAACAAGGAAATAAACATATGGTCAAAAGGATGCATAAGTTGTCAGAAATCTAAAGTTTATCGTCACACAAAATCTCCTGTAAGCACAATTCCAATTCCAAAGAGTAGATTTGAACACATACATTTAGATATTGTTGGACCGCTTCCTGTTTCAAAAGGTTATCGCTACATTTTAACACTTATTGATCGATTTACACGTTGGCCGGAAGCATATGCTTTAAAGGATATTTCTGCACAGACAGTAGCAAATAAATTTATTACTGAGTATGTATCGCGTTTTGGTGTACCTTTAGAAATTACGACGGATCAAGGCACTCAATTTACATCAAAATTATTTTCGGAACTAACTAAATTGCTTGGAAGTCACCATATCACAACGTCTTCCTATCATCCTCAGGGTAATGGTATGGTGGAACGTTTCCATAGACAATTAAAATCCTCAATTTTGGCTAGAAATGGAACTAGAGATTGGTACAATGAGCTACCGATAATTCTTCTAGGTTTACGATCGGTGTACAAAGAAGATATTGCAGCCACTCCAGCTGAAATGATGTTTGGCCAAAATTTGCGTCTACCTGGAGAACTTGTTATGCCAACTACAGAAAATGTAACTTCGACCGAAATTTTAAGTAGTTTACGAGAACGTTTTAAAAATGTAAATTCAAATTTAAAACATCATAAAGAATTTGATTCAGGAATTTATGTTCCAAAAGATTTACAAACGTGTAAATTTGTTTTCATTCGCATCGTTAACAAGCATTCTCTTCAACATCCGTATGAAGGACCTTACAGAGTTATTGAAAAAGATAAGAAATATTTCAAGGTAGATGTAAATAACGAAATTAAAACTATTTCGATTGACAGATTAAAGCCAGCGGTAGTTGAAAGAACACAATCACATAACACTAACAATCACACATTTTCAACAACGACTAAAAAGAAACAAGTTACTTTTAATTTATATCATAATGATTCTCTGGAAGGGGGAGTATTGTAGGGTTCATACTTTTTATTATACTTGCTTCATTTTTTAACTTTGTTAATTTTGAAAATTTTTGATTTAAGTTATTTTTGTAAATGGAAATCAAAATGAAAATTTTTCTTCACTTCAAATTTTTTCATCTTGCTGTATAGTTGAAAATGTATTTTTGTTAAACATTAAAAATTTAATTGGAACTAAACTTTACCGAAAATATAAGTTTTTGAAAGCACTACAAGGACAATGTTTTAAAAAGTTTCACATCATCGGCATACATTAAAATTTTTGAATGTTTTATTATAGAAGGAATATCATTAATGAATGTCAGGAACAGAATCGGACCAAGGTGGCTTCCCTGAGGAACCCCTGAAGAAACTTTAATGATGTTGGTAGAACAATTATTAACAATAACTCTTTGTGTTCTATCAGAGAGGTAAGATGAGATCCATTGAAGAAGACTGGGCTGAAAGCCGATTAGGTCGAGTTTACGGATGAGTAACGAGTGACATACTTTGTCAATAGCTTTACTGAAATCGGTGTACATTACGTCGGTATGAGCATTTTCTCTAAAACCGTTTGAGACATGAGTTGTAAACTCCAATAAATTAGTCATAGTAGATTTTCCTTTAGAAAACCCGTGTTGAGATTGTGTAATTGAAGAAGATATAGTATATGTCAGCTGGTTAACAGTAATTGCTTTGAATAATTTAGGGATAGCAGAGAGTTTCGCTATGCCTCGATAGTTTTCTATAGAGGACCTGCTGCCGTTTTTGTGAAGTGGTATTTTGAAAGGCTCCTTCCAGGCTGACGGAAAAACGCCATGTTTAAGTGACAAATTGAATAGAGTTGTTAAAGGCAGGCAGATGTTCTCAGCGCAGTTTTTAAGAAAACAGGTCGGAATATGATCAGGTCCAGGCCTAAATGACGCTTTTAAGGTTTTTAAATAGTGTAAAACTTCATCGGAAGATATTACTGGAATATAAGCAGAGTTGATTGGACAAAGCTCGTACGGATAGTCTCCACATATAGGGAAGTCTACAGAATAATTGGACCTAAAGAACCGAGCAAACATGTTGGCAATGAGTTGGCTGTCGCTAGATACAGTGTTACGATAATACATAGCGGACGGAAAACCATGTGCCTTAAGCTTTGAATTTACGAAACTATAAAATGATTTAGGATTGTTAATTAAATTCTTCTTAATTTTACATAAATATAAATTATAACATTTCTTATTTAATGCAAAGTAGCTATGCCGCAAAACTGAGTACCTTAGGTAATCACTGTGTAAGCCCGTTCTTTTATACAGTTTAAAAGAGTGCGACTTTTTATTTTTAAATTTTTTAAGCTCTTTAGTGAACCATAATTGTATTGGTTCTTCATGAACAATATTACGTTTTGGCACATACTTTCGAAACAAATTGAAAACAGTATCATTAAAGTGGTCAACGCTACGCTCCACGTCATCTCTATATATTGGCCAAGATAACTTTGAAAGTTCTTTGTTAATTTTCCTGAAATTTGCTTTCGCAAAAACATATCTAGTACTTGAACTTGACTTATTATTATGTATTTCATTTATGATTTCGTAGCTTAACTCAAGAGCAGGATGATGCATCTTCCGGCAAAACTAGGGGATCACACCGATTAATAGAGGCCTTCGGAACATCATCAACGTAAACGAGATCCAAGACCTTTCCAAACTTATTTGGACATATATTTATTTGTTTGAGGCAAAGTTCAGCCATTTCTTCCAGAAATACATTGTAACTATCTCTAGATGAAACTGGTACAACATCGGTGTCAATGATGTTCCATGAAATGTGTGGCAGGTTTAAATCTCCCAAAACAATCATAGAATCGGATGCCGTAAGCATTGCATTTACGGTCTCAAGTAAAGAAACTAGCTGCATATATACTGATACGGCAGAATTAGGAGGGATGTAGCAAAGAGCTAAATAAATATAAGTCTTTCCAGCCTGTACACGTATACATTTAAATTCGGTATATTCAATGACAGGAAGACTAACTTCGTCGGATGGTATCGCTGAATGCACCGCAAAAAAACACCACCGACGATTCTGCTCTCGCGGTCGCTCCTGTATATTTGATATTCATTTGGAAGAATTTCGGAATTAAAAATATGAGGTTTGAGCCATGTTTCGGTCAAGGAAATAATATCTGTGGAATTTTGACAAAACAACCAATGTCGAAAAACTGAATTTTACACGAGGACCAAAAAACACTTTTATATGGTCACAGAATCTTCCCAGAACATATTTAATCAAATGTAACCTATTTTTATGGTGGAGAATTTAAATACCTTTA